CTAACATTGTCATTTTCATTTTTGACTTTGAAAATCCATTTGCAATCAACAATAGAGCAATTAGTTGGCCTAGGAATAAAAATCCACGTATTGTTAACATGCAAGGAATTCATTTCATCATGCATTGCATTTAACCATTTTTCAGCATGTTTAGAATTAAAAGCTTCTTCATAGGACTTAGGTTCATTTCCATCTAATGTCTCGAATACACTAAAAGCATAAGAAGTCAAGTCGTATTCATCAAATCTAGACAGTTTCTTAGTGGTTCTCTTAGTCCTATCTCTCGTAAGTTGGTAGTTTTCTATGTTCTCGTATTTTGATTCAGAATTTTCAACATTTGGTAGGTCATTTTCAAGCAACTTATCATGAGAATCATATTTTCATGCAACTTTTCAGAACTTTCCAATTTATTTGCCTCCACCTTATTTGGCTCTACCTCATTAGAAGTCAAATCTATTTCAGTATTTGGCACATTCAGACAAGGCATCTCGTTTTCATTAAATGTGACGTCTCTAAATTAGTACTTTGAAACCTGATTCATCTTTTAACCATAGCCGATATCCTTTTACTCCTAAAGGATAACCTAAGAAAACACATTTCACAGCTCTAGGTTCAAGTTTATCACCTTTATATAAAGCATATGCTGTACACACAAATACTTTCAAATTGGAAAGATCAAGTTTCTTACCCGACCATACAGATTCAGAACTTTCTTATGTCTAGTTATACATGATTTAGCACATAATGAACCAAGCAACTTATTGCAAAACTCAAGACTATTATCTGTTCTCAAAAATTTAATGCGCTTACCTGTTTGGTTTTCTATTAACTTTTTCGAGTAAAAATCAATTTTGGTCCCATTCAATATCAAAATTATCAATTTTGGTCCCATTAAAAAAAATATATCAATTTTAGTCCCACTCAAATGAAAATTTATCAATTTTAGTCCCAAAATGGTTGACTGGGACTGAACACGGCCGTGTTGGCTTGAACACGGCCGTGTTGGATGACTCAGAAGGTGACTGGGCATCCTAGGCAGCCAACACAGCCGTGTTGGTCTCAACACGGCCGTGTTGATTGCTCTGCACTTCGGAACACGGCCGTGTTCCTGCCCATGTTCTCAACACAGCCATGTTCTAGGCCATGTTCCTGGCCATGTTCCTGACCATGTTCTCAACACAGCCATGTTCTAGGCCATGTTCACGACCATGTTTTCAATATAATCATATTGTAGGTTATATTTATTATTATTTTTACTTTTTGGTTAAAATTATTTGATATATATATTTATAATTTAACAAAAATATTTTTTACAATTATTTTATAATATAAAAAATAATCAATTTTTAATATTTTTAAAATATATAAAAATAATAATATATTAATATATATTTTTTAATGATACTCCCTCCATCCCACTTACCATGTCCACATTGCCGTTTATATCCGTCCCACATCTCATGTCACTTTCCTTTTTTTGGAAAATAATTACACACTATTTTTTAATTTAATTTTAATTTTAATTAAACTAATGAGTTATTTTAATCTTAATTTATAATTATTTATATTATATGATAATTATTTTTACTAATACATTTTTAATTATCTATTAATTATATTTATATTGAAAACATGGTCGTGAACTTAGCCTAGAACATGGCTGTGTTGAGAACATGGGCAGGAACATGAGTTAGAACATGACTGTGTTGAGAACATGGGTAGGAACATGGGTAGGAACATGGCTGTGTTCAGAACACAGGCAGGAACACGGCCGTGTTCAGAAGTGCAGAGTAATCAACACGGCCGTGTTGGCTGCCTGGGACGCCCAGTCACCTTCTGAGTCATCCAACATGGCCGTGTTCAAGCCAACACGGCCGTGTTCAGTCCCAGTCATCCATTTTGGGACTAAAATTGATAAATTTTCATTTGAGTGATAAAATTGATAATTTTTTTTGAATAGGACCAAAATTGATAATTTTGATATTGAATGGGACCAAAAATGATTATTACTCAACTTTTTCCATGCTTGAAAAATTTCAAAAACATCTGATTTTTGTTCTAATAGGAAAATCCAAACTTTTCGTGAAAATTCATCAATTACTGACAGAAAATAACGACTCCCACCTTCAGTAGGAACATGAGCTGGACCCCACACATCATCATGCAAATACTCAAGCACATCTTTACATTTAGGCACTTTAGGAGCATGGGACAAATCAAATTTTACCCTATGTTGGTTACATAAACGCATGAGTCACAAAAAGGCACAGTAGTAATCTTATCATTTTCAAGAAATCCATTTTTCTTTAAGATTTCAAGACCTTTATCACTAAGGTGACCTAATCTTCTATGCCACAATTCAGTTTTATCATTAACAACAGAATTCACATATGGCATTTAATTTGGTTCAACATAAGCAACGTATAAATTATTTTGTCTAACAGCCTTAAACGCAACAAATGAACCTTTTAAGACTTTCATAACGCCATTTTCCCGTTTTTCTATTAATCCACTTTCATCTAGTGCAGCACATGAAATCAAGTCATTGCACAAATCAGGAACATGACTAACATTCCTTAAGGTTAACACATAGCCAGAGTCAAACTTTAGACAAACATCACCTATACCAACAACTTTACAAAATTTTTCATTTGCCATTGAAACACTAGCATGCGAAATAGATCTATAGTTTGAAAACAAGTTTTTCAAAGAAGACATATGAAAGGTACACGCAGAATCAAGTAACCACTCATTAGCACATGTAGTATTAATAGCAGTACAATTTCCTTTAACCATGAAAACATCTCCAATATATTCATTTCCTATAGTCATATTAGCATGCTCATTTTGTTGGTATCTAAAGTTCTTAGGATGCGGACATTGCTTAGCATAATGGTTGGGTTCCCCACAGTTGTAACACTTTCTGTTCTTAGGCCTAAACATAGACCTAGATCTCTCATTGCTCTTTCCCCTATTCTTTTGGTTTTTTGTGTTTTTTCTAACTTGTGACCTACCATTGGCAAACATCACTTCATCACTAGCATGTTTATGATTCTTATTTGTATGCAAGTCAAGTTCTTTGCTTTTTAATCCATTCATGACAGTTTCAAGATTTATACTATCTCTGCCATATTTGATAGCAGACTTAACATCTGAGTAAGAGTCAGGAATTGCATTCATAAGAACAATAGGGGCATATTCATCAATATTCTTATCGCCTGTTTGTTTTATATCTTGAACTAACTTTGTAAAAACATCTAAATTTTCATCAATATTTCAATTCAGATCAAGTTTAAAACGGAAAAAATTTTCAAGTAAAAACAGTTTGTTTGGCAAAGATTTTTCCATGTAAAGCTCTTCTAATCTTTCCCATAACTCTTTCGTAGAATCAAGTTTTCCTACCTTTCTAATCACAGAATCAGATAAGTTCAAGATAATCAGAGAATAAACACATTCATCTATTTCAACCTTTCTTTCATCATTCATTAACGCATTATAATCACCATCAATTGCTTTGGAAACTTTTTGAGTTACTAAAAGTCCTTTCATTTTTTGTTGCCAAATCGAAAATCAATTTTTCCATCGAATGGTGCAATATTGAAAGAGGACACAGGCGACATATTAATGAATAATTCACACGGTCACATAAGGTGGCTATTAGAGGTCAACTACCTACTCCTTTTAGGAGCAGCTTGGTACGTAATAGCCAACACATATAACCAAGTATGTCGGACAAGAATTCACTAACTATCAGTGGTCAGCTACTTACTCGCTCTTGGAGCAGCCAGTTACGTGATAGTTGTGTCACACAATTAATCATGTATTAACAATCACGAATACCCAAGTATTATCTAACACATAGAAGTTCAAGGGTTAGCCATACCGATTGGGGCAAATTTTACCAATTTCTCTTTGCAACTAGGATTGCAAATTCAGCCCGCGTTCAGCTTTTAACCTTGCTCTGATACCAACTATTGGGACTGGGTCAAATCAACACTAGTATGATATTTTCCGAGCTAAGCCCGCACGAATTTGTTTTTGGATATTCTCCAAAAGATCTCGTTCTAGTGAAGTTCACTTGGGACTTATAAGGTGTGAAATTTTTTTCACAACTTCCGATGTGAAACTTGGGTTTATACCCCAACATCAATGTATAACGAATGTTTTAATATTATCAATGTATAAAGTGCTTATTTATATGATTTATTTATTTATTTTTAATTACATTGCTAAACAATTGACTTTTTATTATTTATATAATATTCTCTTTATTCTACCTTATTTGTTAATTATTTATACTTTCTTCTATTCTACCTTATTTACTTTTTTTCTCATTTTTAAATTTATAATTTTTCTTAATTATAATATATAATTATTTTAATTTTAATTGATAATTATTTTTACTAATATATTTTTTAATTATTCACTAATTACGGTTTTAGAGACGAGGGAGCTAGTATTACTTTGTATAATTTGGATTTGCAATTTTATATAACATAATTTTCTTCAAGAGTATATGTGCGTACAAACCGTTCTTAGTAATGATCGTTTACAGCGTGTAGAATGATCCATGCTAAAAAAGCCTCTCAAGAATGACGTGGGCATACATATATTATTTACATAAAAAAGAAAATTGAAACACAATAGTTTATGTAATACATAGAGTTGAATTGATGGCTTCCCCTGGCCCTCACCTGCACCATGCAGGATAAGAATAGACAGCCTCTATATATGGTTCAGTGTATAAGCTGCCTAAAAATGCTGCAGTTGTGCCCACGTTAAAATACGAGCATTAGTCGAAGATGCGAAACTGAAGGATTGGCCGCAAGAAATCCTGCAGCGATCAGAGGAGCAACCGAGCTTCGTCAAAGCCGCCAAGAAAATGGGGTCGACCAACAACAACTTGTACAAAGGAGGCCGGCAATACAATCAATATCAAACATCCTTCCTTCATACAGACAACTTTCTGCCTCTGATAACATGTCAAAATCAAATGTGCATGCCCAAAACACCAACAAGAAGAGTGTGTTCTATTAATGCAGGACTAAAAATTCAATTTGTTCTCCACATAACATAAATAAATACGCACACAAATAAGAGTCGAATTCATACAGGAACATATTTGCACTAAAAATTGTTGTTTTCCATATGTAGAGTTCTCAAAGGGAGCTTAATACAACAACAAGGGATTTTTATTATTACTATTTTTTTCTAAATTGTATTTTTGTATATAATTAAGCCTGGCTGGGGATAAAAAAGGAGTTTCTCGACAAATTAAGTCGCACACACACATCAAAGCTTGGTTCGCAAATGATCAAAAGGTACGGGTGAGTGTATGCATGCATATGATATCCGTATCTACAATGTGTCCCAGCCGGGGATGTTTTCGCTTGCCTCATTCACAGCTTTGACAAGCCTCACCTGTAGGTACATTTAAACGCTCGGAAATTTCATCTAGAAAGTAGAAGCAAGCTAAATTTAGATTTGATTGTAGTTAGACAACATACCACACTTTCAGGAACACCCGGGGGAGGTAATGGTATATCTCTTGGGGGAGGACCACCAAGGTAGGATCTCTTGTCGAATCTCCATTCTCCGACTTGACCGTAAGTTAACTTTCCCTGTTTATTTACTGTTAGTAAAAGCACGACATACAAAATCTTTGTATAGGGAAAAATGTAAAGTACTAGTAGAGAAGAATACTCGAATCACAGCATTTTGATTATAAGTGTCTTCATACCTTCATGGTGTAATCGCATCCGTATGTATAATGAAGGATGAACTTCTTGCCTACTTCTGTATCCCATGGAGGCTAAACCAAAAGTTCATTGGCATTGAGCATTGATGATTTGAGAAAACAACATTGTAGTAAACGTAAATAGGCTGTTACAAGAACCATTCATACCTGTAGCATGAAATCCTTGCGGAGAATGTGCCGTACTCCATGCAATGCAGATGCAATTGCATAGCCATACCTAAAATGAATTGAGATTATGGAGAAATGTAACGATAAAATATATGCCAATTTTCTCAAATTTCCATCGTATATAGAGAATCTACAAAAGAAATTCAATACATTTCTAGAACCCAGCCAAACGCCTTATCAGTCTCAGGATCATCTTTCATCCTTAAGGACACATTCATCCATGTAGGTGCAATCTTCTCCATAATTGACTGCAGCAACAAGATTCGTCATGGAATGAACAAAGTGTGAGATACAATTAAGACCATGCATGATAGTTGCAAGAATTCACGGCTGAGGATATGAAATTTCTTGAGCAGTTCTCCAAAACTGTATTGTACAAATTACAAAACCACCAAAATCTGATTTTGCATAAAACCACTTTTCACCTCAGTAAGATTTACTCTATCAACATATGGTTTTCTAGGTTTGGAATTTTGGCATGTTTAGGTTAGGCAGTTTGGCACTGTATAGACTACACTGATGCACAACACTTGTCTAGATAGGTTAGGTAGTTTGGTACCACATCGACATTAATTGATATCTTTAAAGGCAATTGTGGAAATCAATCAGACATATATTAGGAATCGAAGACCATACCTTCTTGATAATTACAGGGGAATTTCCAATTGGATCGATATCGGTCACAGGACCTTTCTCTTCAGGATAGTATTTCCTCACGATTTTCTCATTATCAGATGGCTTGATGTAAAAAAAGGGGACTGCAGCCGGATGATCTCCTTGAGCCAAATTCGGCAATGGATTAACAAAGATGTGATCAGGCTCAGCCATAAGTATGTATCTGCATCGGTTAACCCAACCCAACCCAACCCAACCAAGAATTAGATTATGCAACCAGAACTAATGCCCAGGAAGTGGTCGAATTAAACATACTCTTCCTCAATTGTAGCTTTCTCCAGCCACTGCACAAACGCCCAAGGCCTATTTAAAACAACATAGCCCTGTTGCACAGCACCAAGTAAATATATATATATATATCAATTGTCATGCAAAAGACGACACCACGATCAATTTACTGACAGCAAATCAGAATAATCTAACTTCAATGATCACAAATACATACAAACAAACTACATTTTCATCTCTTAAAACCATCCTAAAGGTAAACTCATATCTCCAACATATCTACAAACAAAGCCATCACATATAAAACAGTCGTCAGTCCTTACCCGATCGAGCCCTTCCGGAAGAGGATCCACAACCATAGTAGGGATCTCCTCCATCAAACTATCAGCATTTCCTGAATGCAAAACCCGTGTAAACCCTCCCATATCTGACCCCGGCACGTCTCTCATTTTCTTGTACCAATAGTACATAACCCGACATTGCCATTGGCTATAAGGTCCATCCGTGGCTGTCAACACAACATGATATTTCGGACCACCCCCTCGGCCGACCTCATGCCTACTAATAATCGGTTCACTCAAATCCCCTATACCACCACTACTAGCCTTGTTCATCACCAAAGTCAGCAAATTATACGTCCCGAGGAAGAAAATAAAAGCCAATAATACCAACAAGAAGGGTGATGCACCTCCCCCACTTCTCCTAGCAACCATTTCCAGTTCACCAGAAAACTTAAACTGAATTACACTATATTTTTTCAAAATCAAACACAATCCAATTGATCAATCTAAAAAACACTCCCAATCACAACCAAAATTCTAAAACCCTCTCCAAGCTTCAACAGTACCAAAAAAAAAAATCCCCCAAGTTATTGCTCACCATTAGCATAAATCATGGGGGAATTCGCACCTGCAGTTTATACACAAATTAGAAAACACAAGACAACGACAAAAAAAAAAAATGATTGAACAAAAAAATGTTGTTCATTTCGGGAAAAGAAAGAATTAAAAACAATTACCAATCCAAAGCGAGGGGAGTCCAGCTCCAATCCCTCGCCGGTAAATCCACACAGAATCGCCTCCCAATTAACCTTTGAAAGAGGCTACCATCCCATCCGTCTACAGGACTAGAAATTGTGTTTAGAGTTCTGTTTTTGGCAATTCCACGCAGCACAAGGACATTGCCTGAAACCACAAAAAAACGAAGACGGTGTGAATCAAGAGGAGTATGACTTTTGCAGAAGAAGAAGAAGTCGGGAGTCAACGTCTGTTTAATACGTACGGCAAAATTTTACTGCCACCATCTTTACTGTTCATCAACAGTTTAAAAATACGCCTTCATACGAATGACTGTATTACATAAATACATGTATTTAGATTTATATGACATTTGTTGAATTAACGTTTGTTGGCCGTTTTGCTTGAATGATATCTCACCAAATATTAAATCAAAGTATCCGTCATATAATTAGTTTTAGCTTCGCCATTAAGAAATAATAGTATTTAAATTATAGTGGATAGATAAAAGTAGTAAAATAATATTTTTGCTTTTATTTTTTTAGTATAAAAGTAATGATGTGATGTAAAATAGAGGTATTTGTGGAAAAAATGGGATATTTAATGAAATGATTACTTAATAATTGGACGTCCCAAAATAAAAATATATATACTTTCTAACTTGACAGATGGAGTATATGATTGAGTGAATATTTGATAATAATATATTAATAATATTTGTATTTATCCATTATATATATTTATATATATTGTAATAGTTTTGTAGAGGGAAATAATTGAGAAATAAAGTTTATTTTTTCCTCCTCAATTACTCTATATTTTGTTAATTTTGTATTAGTGGTATCAGAGCTAAAGCTATGAACGGGCTCGATCCCATTATCCGTGCCGGTTCTCGATGAAAAAAAAAATTAATCGATGGACCGTTCAAATGACGGTGCTTTTCGATTTTCATGAATTACTGAATATTGTTGAAAAGGGTATTCCAGCATTACCGGATGGTGCAACTGCTGCACAACAGACAACTAATCGAGAGAATAAAAAAAGATAAAAAAAGCCTTCTATCTTATTCATGAAGGTATTACCGATGAAGTATTCGAGAAAATTGCTGGAGCCACCACATCAAAGCAAGCATGTGATACATTGCTGACGACATATAGAGGTGATGTGAAGGTTACGAAAGTGCAGTTGCAAACATTGAGACAACAATATGAGCTTTGGAGATGGGACCATCTGAGCCGGTGGCGGAGTATGTAAGTCGTCTTTAATCAAATGAAGACACGTGGAGATGAGTTTAGTAAACAAACCAAGGTGGAGAAAATATTGTGAACTTTAACGGCAAAGTTTGAGCATATTTTCGTAGTCATTGAAAAGGCTCACGATTTATTGACAATGACCGTTGATGAAATATTAGGCACACCACAAGCCTATGAGCAGTGTATTAATGAAAAACAATTGGAGAAGCCAATTGAACAAGCTTTCTAAGGTTCGGTGTCGCTTAATACCAAATAAAGTGATGAAGCTACTAGTCGTAGCAATTCACATGGAAAAGGACGTGGCCGTGATGGTCACCACAACATACAATATTGACACAAAAAAGTTGAGGCAGTGTGGAAAATTTTGATCATTCCAATCCAACCCGTGAAAGAGGACAAAATTACAGTGATCATGGTCGAGGGCGTGGTTGGAACAAAGGAAGGTTTGACAAGTCAAATATTTAGTGTTATACTTGTCATAAATTCGGTCATTTTTCTAATGAATGCAGATACAAAGACATTGACCAAAAGGCGTATTATGCACAAGAAAATGACGATCAAGATGATCATGGTGCTCTTTTGATAGTTATTTCCACCAATGAAGTACCAAACTCTAATACAAGGTTTCTAGATATTGGATCAACAAATCACATATGTAATAGGCATGAGCTTTTTGTTGAACTTGAAGAATCGGTCCGAACCCAAGTTAAGTTTTCCGATTACAACATAGTGTCAATTATAGGGAAATGATGCATCCTTATTAAGCTAAAGAATGGAGATCACAGTTTCATATCAGAGGTCTTCTATGTGTCTGCTATGAAAAGTAATCTCCTAAGCATGGTCAATTATTGGAGAAAGGATATGAAATGCATTCTAAAGGACGTGATTTGTCGATTCTCGATAGAAAGGTACACTTATTTTGAAGACTACTTTAACAAAGAATTGTATGTTTCATGTTGATATTCCTAGCCATGTGTATACATGTTTTATTGCAATGGTGAAATATGAGTCTTGGTTATGGCATTTTCTTTGGTCACTTGAATTTTCAAAACTTGAAAATGCTTGCTCAAAGGAATATGGTGAAAGGCTTGCCAAAGATCGATCACCCCAATCAAGTGTGTGAAGCATGCATTTCAGGAAAGCAAAGTAGGTTACCATTCAAAGCTGAGAATAATTGGCGAGCGAATCACATACTGGGCCTTTTTGTTCACTCCGATGTTTGTGGCTCGATGAGTGTTGAATCTCATGGCAACAATATGTACTTCTTGAAATTTATTGACGATTTTTCTCGAAAGATTTAGGTTTATTTGCTACCTAAGAAATCTGCAGTGTTCATAAGCTTTATGAAATTTAAAGCTCATGTAGAAAAACATAGTGGTTTTTCTATAAAAAGGTTGCGAACGAATGGTGGCGTTGAATATATCTCTTCTGAGTTCAAGAGTTTTCTAGAGGATCATGGAATTGAGCATCAGATAACTCCACCTCACACTCCTCAACATAATAGAGTTGCGGAGCAAAAAAATAGAACCATCTTAGATATGTCGAGAAGCATGTTGAAAGCCAAAGACTTGCCAAATTCTTTTTGGGGAGAAGCTGTTGTTTGTTTGGTGTATTTGTTGAATCAGTTCCCAACAAAAGTTTTTCGTAACTTGAGGCTAGTGGTAGCATAGTGCAAAATCAAACCTAAAGTTCAACATTCGAGAGTATCTGGTTCTGTGGTCTACGTACACATTCCGGCGGTCACTCAAACAAAGCTTGATGATTATGGAGAAAAGGCCATCTTTGTGGGTTATGCGCATGGTGGATACAAAGTTTTTAACCCAATAACAAATAAAGTCAGCATCAGTAGAGATGTTATTTTTGTGGAGGATGAAATATGGAGTTGGAGTTTGCCTTCACTCAAAGCCAACCTGCTGAATTATTTGACAGTGCTTCTCAATGTGGAATTTATAGTATGGCTAAATAAACTACACAAGCCAATACTTTCAATGAAAGGCCGACAGAAGCCAAGTCTTCTGATGAAAGGCTAAGGCGTCAGTGACAACTTCTAGTCACACTACGTGACTATGAGGCAACCTCATGATGTCATTTCTAATGATGGAGAAATTGTGGATATGACTATGTATGCAGATTACGACACTACCTCGGTTGACGATGCAATGAAAGATACCAAATGGGTGAAAACTATGGAGGAGAAATTGAATTCTATCCAGAAAAATCATACTTGGGAGCTTGTGAATTCTTCATATAATTGCAAACCCATTGATGTCGAGTGGGTTTAAAAGGAAGTTAAAGGAAAATGGAGAATTAGAGAGGTATAAAATGAGGCTTGTGGCGAAAGGCTATGAACAAAGGCCCAAACTCGACTTTCAAGAAGTATTTGCGTCTCTAGCTTGAACGGAGAAGATAAGGTTGTTGATAGCCTTAGTTGCGCAAAATTGTTGGAATATACATCAAATGGATGTAAAATTCACATTTTGGACGACCCACATCAAGAAGAGATTTATGTGAAGCAACCTCCCGGATTTCAATCGCATAGAAGTGAGCACAAGGTGTATAAATTGAAAAAGGCCTTGTATGAACTCAAACAAGCCTCACAAGCAGGGACTATGCGGATTAATTTATTCTTCTCCAAAATTGGATTTCAAAGATGTCCAAGTGAACATGGTCTTTATGTCAAAGCCACTCCCACTGGAGATAAGCTGGTGTTGTGTAATATGCTGACAATCTTATTTTTGCAGGAAAAAATCCTCACATGATTGAAGATTTTAAACTATCCATAAAGCGCGAGTTTGATATGACCGAGATGGGCTTGATGTCATACTTTCTTGTCATCAAAATTACTCAAAGAACTTGTGGGTTCTTTGTTGCACAACCGAAGTACCTTTCTGAAATATTAGAAAGGTTTAACATGCAAGATTGTAATGTTGCACGAACTCCAGTGGAGGTTGACACTAGGTTGATGAAAAGTGAAGATGAGTCTGCCGTCGATGCGACATATTTCAATCAAATTGTTGGAAGCTTACGATATCTCACATGTTTGAGGTCGGATATTACCTATGGTGTTTGGCTAATTAGCAGGTTCATCGAATCTCCACGTCAATGCAGTTTCAAGTTGCTAAAAGGATTTTGAGGTATTTAAAGGGCACTAATGATTATGGTCTTTTTTATTCATTTTCTAGAAACTCTCTTATTGGATTATCCGATAGCGATTGGGGAAGAGATCTTGAGGATCAAAAGAGTACTTCCGGAAAATTTTTTATGGTTCTACTGTTATTTCCTGATCTTCGAAATAGTAGTCTATTGTGGCACTATCAACTTGTGAATCTGAGTATGTTGCTACGTCCATGAGTGTTTGTCAAGCTATTTGGCTGAGAAATGTGTTGGATCAAACTGGCATTCCAGTTGAAGGTCCTATACAGTTGCAAGTTCATATTATTTTAGCAATTAATTTGGCCAAAAATCCTATAGTGCATGGGAGAAGCAAACACATAGACATTCATTACCATTTCTTGAGGGACGTCGTGAATGAAAGGAAGATTGAATTGAGGTTTTGTAAATCTGAAGATCAAGTTGCCGATATTTTTACAAAGCCATTGAAGCATGAATCACTACAAAAAAAGTATCTAATTAGCTACAATATATTTAGCTACGAAATATTTATGTATTTAAAATATGTCATTTAGTACAAAAATTAATTTCATCATAAAAATAAATTATATACTAAAAAATTAATTTGGTCGCTAAAATTTTTTTACTAGACAATTTTGTTTTCATAGTAAAAAGGTTTTAGCTACAAAATTATTTTTCATAGTTAAAAATCATTTGGTTAAAAAAATCATAGATATTTTGTGCTAAAACTCTTTTGTTATAAATTTTAATTTTATAGCAGAAGAGCTTTAGCTACGAAATCATATTTTCATAGCTATCTCTCTTTTCTTAATTTTCATTGCAAAAAACTTTTTTTTTTGATATGAAACTCATATTTGTCGCCAAAGACCTTTAGTAACGCGGTATAAGTGACGAAATGAGTTTCGTCGCAAAAATGCTTTTGCTATGAATTATTACATTTTGCTATGAAATTTTTTTGTAGCTAAATTTCAACTTTTTGGTAGTGAATCATTTGTGAAATTGAGGAAAATGCTTAGGATGACTTCGGCGGAATATCATAATTAAGGAAGGGTGTTAGAACTTAATTATGATATTTATGGAGAATAATCCTATATTAATTTGGTGATTATATAATAAAGTTTGATATATATTTTGATTTATGGGATAGTTAATAATGAAATATATAATAATATATGATTGAGTTAATATTTGATAATAAATTAGTGATATTTGTTTATCCCGTATATATATTTATATATATTATAATAATTTTATAGAGGGAAAGAATCGAGAAATAAAGTTTATTTTTTCCTCCTCAATTACTCTCCGAGTCATCCAATACGGACATGTTCAGTCCTTGTCGGTTACCATAAGACTAAACTAAATTAATTTTAATTAAAATTGATAATTGTAATATCCAACGAGTCCAATAGTAAGTTTTGCTCACCTAATCTTTTATTTTTTATTTTTTAAAAAAATTGTTAAGAAATTAGTTACAATACCATTAGATATTGTTGACAGATCTTACGGGTTACCAAAATTTCACTTAATATTTGAAGATAAATAATTATTTCAAAATAGTAGGTTTTATTATTATTATTATTATTATTATTATTTTGAGAGGCCTAAAGGAGTGTATAATATAATTAAGAATAAAATTACATTCCCCCAATACATTTGATACATATTTAGCCAAATTGAACTACAAATGGCCATTTTTTGGTACAAAAAGCTATTTGTAACGATTTTGTACCGGATTTTGACCGGTGCATATACTCGAGTTACAAAAAGTCTCTGTACCGACTTTTTCCGCAACAAAAAATGGGTGGTCAACGCATTTATTGTAACAGTGTTTGTAACGCTATCATTGTACTTTCGATTTATTTGTAGCGGTCATTTACCATTATAAAAGAATCGTTACAATAAACGCTTATCCACTTGTAACGGATTTTATTACGGTAGTAATTCGTTACAATAGTTGGTTTTCAGAAACCTAGTTAATATTTTTTATACCAGTATTTGTAACGACCAATTTATTGTATCGAAAAAGGTTTCCTTATTTTTTCAATAATAACCTAAAAAAAATGGTTTCGAGACCGAGAAACCTCTACGATGTGAGAAAATACTGCCAAATGACATTACAAAATATGAAAATATTACGGCAATTCTGTATCACCATAAGTTGTAGCAAGTACGCACTGTGTAGAAACATAAATATTTCACAATATAGCCTAACATATATGGAAAAGCGTAGCAACAAACACACAAAATGTAGCAGGGACAGCAAGTTCAACCAACATAAAGGACTCAGTTAGCATCAATCCACAAACAAACGTCAATCATCGTAGAATCACGTGCCATGCTGCAACGCCCCATGCACCATCAAAGTGGCCGTACACCGTAGTTACGGGCGACGAACAAGTTGCCAGCATTGTGCAAAATTATATAAGAATTTATTTGTGAGATGGTTAAGTTGTAATCCAATAGAAAATCTTGTAAATGTGGTTGCGTACATCTTTAAATGTCCAGTCGATTGGCTCGGCGCGGACAACCTCACCGAGTTTTTGTGCTCCAGAGGTTGTCCGTAGAATAAGCGCAGCCTTTGGAACAGTAGCAGATGTAACAAAAACCCTTACTATGTCAACAGTGTCACCTATGGACATATAAAGATGTGCAAATCATCGGAAAGAAAATAAGACTCACGTTTTATATAATCAATATATAATATTAAAGATATTAACTAAAACATTATAGCATACGTAAGAGAAAAGGTCAGAGATGATCTCCTAATTTAACCATCCATACAACAGCGTAATCAAAATTGTAAAATATAGATTAGTATAACTATAATTATAGCATGGATGCAATCTTGATGACATCCGGACCAACATCTGTACAACCCCACAAGTATAAAACAACCAGCAACGTGATCAATTTATTTGATACATGTGAAAAGCTGTTTGTTTAAACAACCAACTTAAACATGTACCAATTTAAAAACAACAATTAATTGAGTACTGTTAATGTATCCAAATACCTAACACATAAGTTACATAAAAAATCAAAGTGGTTTGGGGAAAAAAATCAATTTACCCAACAGCCTACAAAAATATTTAATTATAATTTTATATGCTACCCAACAAGGTCATACAGAGCAAACAACCACCCAATTACAGTTTCATATAAATTGCATTGTCACCATATCATGTATTAGTATTTTGACTAACTAATAACCATAGAATATGCTTTACTCAAAATGGTTGCAATCAAAACCGATTTCATATAGATAATATAACTAGGTTGACAACAAACCTGGGTTAGGGTCGGATAGCAACATCCCCTCACCAACAACGCGTTTTTCGAAACCACGAGATATGAGAAGAATACGATACCCCGATCTACATGAAAAACGTTATCAAATGTCAATCATATAATCTACATGCATGTTCTCGAAGGTGGTGGTGATGTATTAGTAGTGGATGTTATTATCTAAAGGGTGATTCAGTTAACAAATACAAATAAAATTAGCAACGAAAAATTACTAACTGTCAACGGCGTAAGGACATCAGTCCCCGGGGTCTCTGACCTTCCATCTGTGCGGCTAGAACACTGCAAAACAGGTGAGTATGAAACAACATGACTCGCCCCAAATGGTACAATGCAAAACTAATTAATACACGAGATATGCATTCTTATAGGGCCCCGTATGGAGGCACGCGGGGAAGAATTCAACAAAGCAGACATCTCAGCATGGATGATTCTAATTTCAGACATCTCAGCACAGACACTCCTAAATTCAGACATAAATTCTCTAATCTCAACAAGGCCTTGCTGATAGTCCTCAGCAAGCTTTCGGAGATCAGGACAATCGGGCCCTCCAGTCAAATGACTCCGGGGGTAGGTAGAGCTGGTAGCACTATCAACAGCTATTTTTTTATTCCTTTTCCCCCCGAGTGCACGGCAGTACAAAGCCTCACGAGCCGCCGGGGTTCTTTTATCAACAGGAATTTTATTAAGTTCATCATTCAAATAAGCCTACAAAATTTCAAACAAATACAAAGATGAAGGACGGGAAGTACTACAATTCCATTCAACAAAAGGTGAGATAGGTTTACATACCAAAATATCATCAGTCATCTCATCATCACCACCACGTCCATTCGTGCGAGACGACATCCAAATTTCCAAATTATCAGGCTCTTTCCCTGTTGCCTTTATCTAAGAATTAGCCAAATAAGAAACCGGTAGTTAACTTCACTTACACATAAGAACTGGGGAGCCATAGCTGTGGACTAAATTATTGCACAAACAAGAGAATGAAGGACCTCATCCGCCAACGCTGTGAATGGTTTCCGGCCAGTCCTGTGCGGAAACTTTCTTTTGATGAAGTTATTGGTATTTCTCCTTGCAATATCCTGCGAACATCGACCCATATGAATTAAAGTTGCCTAGGTAGCATGGTAAGAGCATAATAAGATGAAGGAAGAGATGTAACTTGCCTTAACCTTCTCATCCTTCCAATATTGGACAAGCAACGGCCATTCTTCAGCGGCATTCCGATCGGTGGGGACTTTCTTCAATGCTTCATCGTCATTCTGGTGTGGTGCGAAGTATGTGGACTTTATGATGCATTTCCAATGGCACCAGACATCCTTCAGGTCAGCCATAACGACCTTCTCTGCCGAATCCGGAAGCCCATAATTGTCTTAAAATAATATAAAGTGTTAATATGTAAGCTTGATCTACTCAAGGAAGCATGTACAGTAAACAGAGGTTTAATATAAGGGTTTCTCATCTTCATTCTATAAAACTTACACATATCTCAATCCATGGACCTTGCCGCAGTTGTTCGGGAATTGCTTGGAAACTCGAATACCGTAATGGAAGACGCATCCCATTTCTGGCGATGACTCCAACTCCACTTTTGTAATCCTTCACATCTGGTCCGATGATGCTTCTGCCATCCCTGGCCATAAACACAGTCATTGGGGTGTCCCCACCCCATTCACGAGGCATCTTGGCCGCTCCCCGCCCCCTCTTAGTTTCTGTTATTGGATTTACGAATATATTTGAATATTATGTTAGTATTACTATGCTTCAACACTTACCTAGTTAGTGAGTAATGGAATACATATATATTGTAATATGCTACCTTCCGTCTCAGCTGGTTCATCCCTCTGGGTGAGATCATCATCATCCATTTCCGGAGGTTCTTCGATTTCAGCCACCGGTGCATAGTTTATTCCCAATGTAATGGGGCCAGTTGTTTCCATCCCCTGCGTAGGGCCTATCGTATCATCATCAATCACATCGCCGATCACCGTCTGCAATATTTTACTCATGTGGTGTTAGGAGTTTCGATGTATAATTGTAGCAAGACAAGGAATTTATAGGCGTATATAACAATCAATATTACCTGCTCTGGCTCCTGTGAATCCTGCAATAAAGGACGTCGAATGGAGGATGCATCTGCCCTTGCTGCTGTCCGAGCATCCCGCTCTCTCTCCCACTCTTCTGTAATTGATTTTAAGCGGTCCAAAAGAGGTGAGACATGGGCACCCTTGCGTCTAGTCGTCATCCGTTTAGGACCAACTTGCTTTGGTGGAGAGGGTGCACTAACCTCCGGGTGATTGGTTGTCTTGGGGCTGCTACGTGCTAGGGCTCTTGTGACCCGTCGGAGTGGTGAACCTCCAACCTCTTGCAATACAGATTGTCTTTCACGGTTGGTTCTTGCCATTACCTAAAAGGAAAGAATTCAAATATCCTGTTAGCAACATAAATGCAAGAATGTATAAATAAATTAGAAACAATATGCTTTCAACAACAAATGTAGTATGATAAGATAACTATTTCATAGGAACAACACTTACTAGGCCGAGAATATATTAAGTGTGAATGATTATATTTACCTTATTTAATTCAAAATCGTCTGCTGTAAGTAAAGACTACTATAGTAATGTTTCCACTTGCCAAGTCCGTTCATCTGTTCCAAAAGTCAAAAAGTATTTGAGAACCCAAAAGTGAAGCCAATTACTACACCGACTCATATCCGCTAAATTGGAGCCCCATCGGTCTCCTCGTCCGAGGACTCGCCAAGGTGGCTTTGTATACCAACGGATACATTCCCTAGCTGCTCTCATTCTACTATCGTACCTTCTACGCCCTCTCTCACCCAATAGTCACGGGATTCCCGAGAACAATACCCTCATCTAAGGGGAACCTATTATTGAATCTGTCATCGATCATCGTGTAAACATCGTAGTTATCTCTCTTTACCATTGGCACAACGACACTCCATGCTCCATCAATTGGATCATCGATGTACCAAACTTGTCTTGCTTGTGTAGCTAAACAAAATGGTTCATCCGTGGGAAGATTTTTTGAGTACATCAAATGCGAGAAGTTTATTAACTTGTACCTAAATTCGTCTTCTTTCACGCCCCTCTATGGGTCCACCCAATCGCATTTGAATAGAAGGTGTTTATTCTCGTTGTTGTACGGCAACTCTATAATGTCGGTTACCATACCGTAATATGCAACGGTGCCTGAACATGGGTTAACGTCTCTTGCACTTGCAAAACTCATAGTATCCGCATTTAGCATCACTCCGGCACACCTAGTCTTTTTCCCGTCATCTATTGACTTGACTCTAAAGCGCAAACCTCCAACTATGCACGAAGTGTACCTTGTTGCATGACGGTTGGGTCCGCGTGCTAATGTCTTCATATAATCAATAACCGTCCCCTTGACAATGTGTGTTGGTTCTTCTACCTAATCGCACAAATAATTTATGTTTACGCATACTTGATAGGTTTTATTTATCAAAGTGAGAATGGAGTGAAAATGAACACGGACATAATTTTGAAACCAGACTGGAAATTGTTCTGTATGGATCCGTTGCACTTCCCGGGGACTTGCACATGGCCGTGTCCTTCTTATGCTTTTAAGATGAGTCCTAGTAGTAGATGGTTGAAGTTAATCTATGTATTCACTATGCGCACAATAGGAATATTTTCGTAGAGTAAATAAAAGTACCTTCTTGTTGGCTCAATAGCTTCCGAATTGCCTAATATGTACCCGTGAATTTGTTGCAAGGAGATAAAATCAAGGTTACAACGCATCCCACCAACACCACGGCCAGTTGTGCACCCCTGGTCATCATGTCGCGGGCCTCGGTTCTCTTTTGTCTCGACATCACCAAGATACCTTGAACAAAATGACATACACTCCTCCGAGAGGTATCCGCATGCAATGGACCCCTCTGGCTGTGCACGGTTGCGTACATACCTCTTAAGAGTAGCTAAATACCGTTCAATAGGATACATCCACCTATAATGCACAGGTCCGGCAATCATTGCCTCTTCCGCCAAGTGAATTGGGAGATGCTCTATCACGTCAAAAAATGACGGAGGAAATAACTTCTCTAGATGGCAGAGAGTCAAAGCTACCCTTTCCTGTAACTTCTCCAACTGACGAACTGAGTTGTTGGGTGAGCACATCGAATTGAAGACACAATTCTATCAATACAAGAACTACGTCTCTCGGTAGTGCCATAAAGAAGGAGAACAAATACAACATTTGATCTGAAGTTGTACAAGCACACAATGATCATATTCGAGAAATGATAAAAAAAATACAAGGTGTACCGGCGGAGGGAAATAGCAAGAATCTTCTGCATTAGAACATGACAATCGTGGCTCTTCAATCCCCAAATGCTTAGTTGCTCCACTCTCACCCTACGGGACAAATTGCTACTGAAACCATCGGGGGGTCTTAGATTTTTCAAGACCGATAGAAATATTTTCTTTTCAGAGGAACTCATGGTGTAAGCGGCTGCAGGTAAATAAAAACCACCATTCGGTCTTGGAATAGGATGCAAAGAAGTTCTTATATTCAACAACTGTAAATCCTTTCCTGTATTAAGGTTGTCCTTTGTTTTGCCCTTCGTGCCTAGAAAAGTGTGAAGGACATTCTCACAAACATTTTTTTCAATGTGCATCACATCAAGGTTGTGTCGTATATCATTCTCAGCCCAGTATGGTAATTCAAAGAATATACTCTTCTTTTTCCACCCTAACACTTCTTCATGCTCATAGCGACGCCGTTTTCTAGATCATGTGCCAAGTGTTGTGTAATCAAATCATCTTTCACATATGTAGTTGGCACATCGCGTATTTGCTCTTCCAGTTCTGTACAAGTTATGCGTGTCGTAGGTGCTGCAAAGTCCATCGTTCCATCAAATGACTGTCGATCCAGACGCATTCTGTGACCGTCGGGCAGGTATTGCCGGTGTCCACAATAGCAGAATTTATGACCATTTTTTAAGTATGCCAAATGTGTTCTCATACCGCAATTAGGGCATGCGTTTGCCCCCTGTGTTGGCCAGCCAGATAACATGGCATACCCTGGGAAGTCACTAATGGTCCACATTAAAGCGGCCCGCATTTGAAAATTTTCCTTACTTACTGCATCATATGTTCTAACCCCCGTACTCCATAATTCTTTCAACTCAGCAACCAGAGGCTGAAGAAAAACATCAATGCGATCCTCGGGTCCCTTCGGACCATCAATAATTGTAGATAGGATGAATAATGGTTGTTTCATACATAACCATGGTGGTAGATTGTAAATGACAAGAACTACTGGCCAAATGCTGTAGCTCACACTCATGTTTCCGAAAGGATTAAACCCATCAGTGGCCAACCCTAGACGTACATTGTGTATGTCACTGGCAAATGACGGGTGACGATGATTGAAGTTCTTCCATGCTGCACTATCAGCCGGATGGCGTAACAGTCCATCGTTGACACGGCCTTCAACATGCCAGCGCATGGAAGCTGCAGTTTTCGAAGATAAAAACCATCTCTGTAAATGGGGCACTAACGGAAAGTACCTCATCTTTTTTCCTGCCTTAATGGGGTTGCCGTCAACGAACCTACTAGCCCCACAAATCACACAAGATTTGAGTTCTACATCATCTCCTGTGAACAACATACAGTTATTAATGCAATCATCTCTACTCTTATAATTGAACCCCAACTTCTTTGTTATTTTGTTTGCCTCGTAGTAATTCTTCGGCAAGATCACAACATCTGGTAGGGCATCTCGCTACAACTCTAATAGTAGGTCGACAGAGCGGTTAGACCACTGACATAGAACCTTCAAATGCAACAGACGTGCAATAAATGAAAGCTTGCTAATCTTCTTACACCCTGGGATAAGATCATTTTGCATGTCTTCAAGCATTTGCCTCCACCGACTGTTGTTGTCATCTCTATGGTCGTCACCTACATTGTTTGCAGTGTTGCCTTCATTGATCCCTTCACCCAGGTGGTCAGGCATAGCATAATCGCGCATTAGCATATCTAGGTCATCTTCCCACAGTGTTGACCTAAGCCTGTCTTCCGTGCTAGTTGATGTTTCACCCATAACTTCACCATGGCTAGTCCACACCCTGTAAAACGGGTCAAACCCATACCTAATGCAATGAAGCAATATCTCCCTATGAGTATTAGTGGCACGGTTTAAACAAGTCCTACATGGGCAATATACAACCGAGTCTATGCCCCTCCCACGAAAAGCATAGTTTAAGAATTGTATCACACCATCCAAATAAATAGACGAAGTATGGTTCGATTCGTCAATCCAACTCTTGTCCATCTAAGAAAGAAAAAGTTTGAAGATTTTTTATAATCCCATTAACATAAATCGTATGCACTTAATTAAACACATTTTGTAATGTGGATCAATATATAAGTACCACTTTAATAGCGTGCCATGTAAATAATTTTCAGACCCTAAGATAACTTATTTCAGGTTGGTTCTTAATAGTAACCTGCCTCGGCTTATATAACCACCGAAAATAGTAGTATTGAACTAAAAATATCAATATCAGCACTATAATTCGAATGTTCATATCATAAAAACTATACAAGTAATGTGATATACTATGGATGCATGAATAACTTACTATTATGCAGCAAGCTTGGATCGACGCTTAGACTTCTGCCCAAAAGTATGTTGTCCCTCAATGGCGGGTATCACACACCTATTCAATTTCAAAGATGCCTCATGTCATCCATAATGCATATGAGTAGATCGAAGAATCAGTAGAACACTTTATAAAAGCAGTAACGAGTATCAGAGAAAACACAAACAATATTATACATATCAATGATGATGGTATATTTAGACTAGGCTTTTGGTAGTTGTTCTGCTTTATCAGCATGGAACATGAACTACAGCAGAATGCACCACTATCTTCTTACACACACATATATATACATATATACAAAAGCTCCTAGAAGGTTTGAAGAAGAAAGCAATTGATGTGGTGGCAGTTGGATTTAAATTTGGAGGTGGTCCCCAAACCTTATATTCCAAGTAATTCTTGTGGTTGATTTACCCAACCCTCTCCTTTTCTGATTGCAATATTAATTCATACAAACAATACACAGACATATATATAAACTTATATATGTGTTCTGCCTCCACCAACTATATAGTAAATTTTACCTGTAAAAATAAAGTTTATGCTAATCACGTGCTTCAGGAACAAGTTGACATGCCATAAACAAACTTTCCACTTACAAAATTATGAAATTCAACATGCATTCTTCTTCGATGCTCGGAACTAATTTTACATAATTAAGCTCACATGCATGCTACACCAGTTCTTGGGGTATGCCAACCCGATTAAACCTCAAAGCCAACTCAAACACTTCATTTATCCAAGCATAAAAAGAACAGCAGACAACAATCGGTAGATGTGAATGCATAAAGCATTTGGTTCTGCTAATTAAATTTGTAGAAGAAATCATGCAAGACTGCCATAGATCCAGGTATTTTATTTAAGTTGACAAATGATTTGTGGAGGTTATGATTTGATGAGAAACATAAGGTACAGTTTTGGCTAATTCCACCCGATCATGTCTAGTCAAGATTTCATAATTATGTAAAATTAGTTCCAGTGAAATCATAAGCTACATTTTTATCCAGTGAAAGAAGATCAAGATTTCATAATTATATAATTTTCTTTCACTGGATAAAAATGCAGGAATAATTTCTTTCTGGAAAAGACTATTTCTCATCCACAAAGTAAGGTACAAAAGGAATGGATCTAATTATCAAGTAGTGTCAAGACGAACCATATAATTACAAAATCTCTCATCATCTATGTAACAATTTAAGCCCTAAATCTAACATTACGAACAAAAATTAAAAATAAAAAAAGCCTAACTAGGCAGAAAATAATAATAAAAAAAAACAGAATTAATCCCATATCCAAACTTACAGGAAAACCTAGGGTTCGCGTTTGAGGACGTCTGCAGGCAGCGGTGGAGCGCGGTCGACGGCCGAAGACAGTGAGGCGGTGCGAGGTTCGGGGGTGTAGGGCGGAGGATAGCCCGTCAGTGAAGAAAAACACGAAGAAGAAGACGACGACGACGAAGAAGAAGAAGACGAACCAGGAGACAAAGGAAGAAGAAGAAATAAAGACGAAAAGAGCAAGAAAGAAGAGAGGAGAACGGAGGGGGCGGGGCTGCGCGCGATTGAATTAATTAGGGTTATGCAGTAGAATTTTATTATTTTTATATTACATTTTTTTTAAATAAATAATTATTTTAATTTTAATTTGTATATATTAATATATAAGTATTATGTATGTATTATACATGACATACATATATACGTAAATATGATATATTATTTTAGATTTATTTTGAAATTTTATTATTTTTAAATTAATAATTATTTTAATTTTAATTTGTATATATTAATATATAAGTATTATGTCTGTATTATATATGACATATATATATATGTAAATATGATATATTATTTTAGATTATTTTAGATTTATTTTGAAATTTAAAATAAAATTATTGTAGTTGTAACGGAAATATGCCGCAACAAAAGAAAATGTGTTGACCATACCAAAAATACCATTTGTTACAGTAATATCTGCTACAAAAAATAGCTTTTGTAGCAAGAAAATTGTACCGACTAAGATTTCGCTACAAATGAACATTTTTTTTATAGTGCAACTTTGGTTACAACATTATCGAAAGAACTAATTATATATATATATAGATTTCTATTTCTATTTCTATTTAATCGTAGTTAATTTAAAATTTAAAATTTAAAATTTATTTCGCATCATTCAAAATCTGCCAATATATTCGATATGTATTTCTATATATATAAATATACCAACAGAGGCTTATCGTACATATAAAACATTTATCTAATGGTTTGATCACTTTAGGAACATAAAAATAAAAGTAAAAGAAAAACATTAAAATATATATAAAATAGTATTAAACGTTAAGTAAAATGCAATTTCTCTTCTAGATTTTTTATACAAAAGTTGATTTTTTGGATAATCATTATAAATTATGACTGATATCATTGTAAAGTTACTAAAATAGTTCGATCACTCGTGATCTACCATATTCAATAATATCACTACCAATACTTCGATTAACAATTAAGATTATAAGTATTACGATCAGAATATTTGACTTTGAATTTCATTGAATTAGAAAAATAAAAATAATAGTAATAACGACAAGATGTTTAACATATGTTTATTGTAATTTAATAACTATTATTACATACTTAAGAGTTAAATAACATTACATTTATCATATATAAATATACAAAATTTCGTTTCCGGACAATCATTATTTATAAAAAACATTATATTTAATAGCATAGTTTTACATAATTTATTCTTAAACATATGATACAATTGATTCAAGAAAAAATAGTACTACCATATCAAACAAGCATACAAAATATTCACTACCAATTCTCATAGTCCAAGTAATGCACTATAGCTAAAATGTTGGATAATGAGTTATATGTAAATGATTATTTGGTTAATGAAAGTCAAAATAGATCGGTGAACCAAATTAATTAGATTAATTTGGATGAAATAAATAAGTACTATTTATTCATTGAATATGAAGTTTGGTTAATATTTTGATTATTTTTTTGTCTCGAGATAAACTAGATTGTGCAGCCCTAAGTTAAATCCGGGTATATGGCCTAAGTCGCAGTATTATCCGGATAAAAATAGTATCCGTTAGATGGATTTATTATCTCAAACGAAAGGTTTGAAATTAGAATAAATTATAATCGTTCCAAACAGAAGGTTTGAAATTATAATAAATTACGACCGTCTCAAACGGAAGGTTTAAAATTAGAATACATTACGACCGTCTCAAACGGAAGGTTTGTAATTGAAATCAATTACATCGGTAATTAAGGTCGTAGTTATGATCGTAATTGATCCCCCCTGCCATTTTGACCGTGTAGAGGTGCCTATATAAAGGGCATCCCTCATTTATTCTAAAAAGATTAACAACATTCTCTCTCATTCTCTCATTTCTTATAGCTTTTCGGTAACCTCCCCAACTCAGTTCCTCCCTCGTTTTGTTTTCCGGAGCTCTGACGATCTAAGGTATCACTCTCAACAGAGACGGAAACAATTTTATCTTTGGGTTAGAATGCCGGCCACCGAAGGTACTACCGAGGCGTATCTAATTTTCGAAAAAAAGATTCATCATCGGCTTGGATTTACAGTACATTTACTTCTCGCAATTCCCATTTAGCTAATAATCGAAAACTAGATAATACTTTACGAGAATGTCAACCACTGTTGAAGCCGCCGGAACCGCCGCTGAAGAAGTCTCTGGAGCCGTCGCTGCCGCCGGAGGAGTTTCCGGAGTTGCTACTGCCCCAATTGGGCCGGTTTCTTTTATGGCTAGTCCTGTGTTTTATGGATTTGCACTAAGTGGATGTAGGGGCTTTCCTGGGTTTGTGGCCACACCCTCCGCTGCTTCGCGGTTCAAATTGCTAGTCCTGTGTTTGGCTACGGATGATGCCCTACGGATCAGTTCCACAACCATTTACTGGAGTGGACTTCAAAAGGTGGCAGGAAAAAATACTCTTCTACTTGACCTCGATTGGGTTTGCCATATTTTTGCTGCACGATGGCCCAACAAACCTAGAGCCCGATGCGGATCAGCAGATGTATGCGAATTATGCATTGTGGGCACATGGAGACTACATTACAAGGAACACCATACTAGGTAGTCTCTCTAACTCTCTTTATAATATGTATTGTAAAATAAAGAGTACGAAAGGGATGTGGGATGCCCTGAAGAAAAAGTATAAGTCTGAGAATGTCGGGTCCAAAATATTTGTTGTGGCCCGATTTTTAGTGGCAACTTTTTAGTTTAAAAAGTGAAAGAATTTCAACACATTGTCAACTCTATTATCAACGATGAGATGCCACTGCCAAAAAAGTTTATCACAAGTATGATGATCAAGAAATTGCCTTCGAGTTAGAGCAACTTCAAGCACAGGCTGAAGCACAAGCTAAATCAAATGGAGCTTGAAGATCTGATTGTCCAAATCTGGATAGAAGAGGAAAACAGAAAGCCACACAAGGCTAAAGGTGGAGATATTGCTAAAGCCAACTTCGTCAGAGATCCGTCCAAGAAACGTGCACCCCTGACTCAAATGGACAAGGGCAAGGCCAAACTGTCCAAGTTTATAGGTAATTGTTTTAACTGTGGTAAAACAGACACCAGGTTAAGGAGTGTAAGGCACCGAAAAAAAAAGAAGTTGAGTTCCCAACTGGTTGAAATGAGCCACCAGATTGATCTTGATCTCAATAGTGACAACCTTATCACTGTTGTGTACAAAAAAATAATATGAAAAGTTCGAAAGCCTGGTATATTTAATACAGAGCAACCTGCCATTTTTGCTCCGACAAAACAAACTTCACGATCTACAAGGACACTGAATGGATGAAGATGCATATGGGAAATCATGCAACTTCTGAGGCCTAAGGCGTGACAAACGTGGTGCTGAAGATGACCTCTAGCAAAGAGCTAACCCTGAAGGATATCGTGCACATGCCAAACATTCAGAAAAATCTCGTCTCAAGATCACTGCTAGTTAGACATAGTTTTAAACTTGTCTTTGTAGCATATAAATTTATATTATCGAAAAATGAGGTGTTCCTAGCTAGGGATAATGAAAATATTTATTTTTCTTCGTATTTGATTGAGTGTTTTGATTTATAGCATTGTAGATTAGATCATGTAAACCTAAATGCTATAAAAAGATTAGTGTTGAGCTACTAAAAAATTTGAAATTATGGTTTCGGCCCATGGGTTGGCGAAGTCAAAATAGGCTCGCGGAGTCAAAATGGGTGCCTCAAGATCTGGTTGCATGGTTGGCAAGATTGAAATGCGAGTGTGATGGGCCGATGAATTGTATGTTTTCGGGGCCAGTTGGTTGCGATGTCGGGAGGTGAAAATTGGATGATTAGAATGTCCGAAAACTCATAAGGGGCACGTGCACTTTGAAGTGACCGATTTGGGTGGTTGAAGTTTCGGGGTTAATCGTCAGGCAATTGCCCCATGATCCGGTAACCGAATCAAACCGTCCGAAACTGGTGTGGACGAATTGATATCGGTGGGGCGCAGGGACGAAAGGATAGAAAATTCTCTCAACACAGAACTCTTGGACTTTATCTTTTGTTTCACATTTTCCTTTTCTGTTCTGTATTTGGCTTTAGTAATATCTAATTTAGTGCTTAGGGATTCATACATAATCTCAGGCACAACTCATCAAATCGAAACCTATTTTCAGATTTTACTTTGTTTTGTTGAATTTATCAAAGAAAAAAATTGGTGACTACAGTGGGAGAAGAAACAAGATTTTCAACCACACATCATGCGATAACTTCATTCAACTCCAATCCGGTGGGATTATTGAAATGAGCCACATGACCGGCTCTCAGCCGCAAACCTCTAGTACATTTGCAGGAAGTACGGCAGCCATACCGCCCACAATCTCGTCTACAAGAGGCGAAACTCAAGTACCCACTGAATGGGTGACCTATGTTCAACATTTGAACAACCACCTTGCAAGCAATGTTGCACGATCAACAAAATTTGATGCAGAATATGTTAGAGCAAGCTTTCTCAAGAGTCACATTCCAATCGGTTCTCGCACCATCAGGAATGTCCCCCTCTCCGCTTCAGGCAAATTTCACAGGACCATCTTAGATTTAAATCACGATTCCGAGCGTTACCATTCCAAGCAAAATTGATATAGGGAATTTGCCTCTCACCTACCCCAAGAATGTTCCACTAAGAGCAAGGATGGACCTTTCCCCACCACGCTATCTAAGGGAAGAGCGTATGGGAGGACAATCCCATGATCCTATTCATGACAACCCACCACATAGGGTTGACCCAGAAGATGTCGCCCATGTTCTCAAAGTGGATTTCGGGACGAATCCTCAGATAGCAAACCGTCCGGCGTATCAGAGGCCTTTTCCATAGAGATTTATCAACGAATATCCTCTCCCAAGGAATTACCGACCTTTTGATTTTCATGTTTCTTCGGAAGAACATAGTTTTCCTAAAATCGAGCATGTAGGCTGTTTTACGGCTCAACTTGGTGAGGTCGGTAACAATCCATATTACAAGCTACGGTTGTTCGGGCTTTC